GCATCGTTCCTTGGCCAAACAGGATAATTTTTTTATATAAATTCCAATTTTCAATAATTTCCATGCTCCCCCCACCCCCGAACGATTGGCTACTTAAAATGTTAAGGACAATCCCGACCTGCGTCACAGTCACGTGACACCTCCTGTGTGGTCCGTGTTGGTGATTCCCGACCTTCCATTCATTGCTGCTTGTTATTTGTTGTTCATTTCCTGTGCATTTTGCCAACAAAATGAGTTTAACGCCTAGGCACAAGTGCAAAGGATTCCGTAAACAGAATTCTGTATTACGTTTCAGGTTCTCGTGAGGGCTGGATGGATGAAATGGACTTGCGAGACCCCGTCTGCTTGTTGGAACATTTCAGAAAAAAATGCAATTGCAGATTTTAATTTAAACATTTATTTTAGAGTAAAAACACGTGGAAATACAAGATTTACGTTCATCGCTCACACCCGCTGCGGAAGAGTTCTTACTCCGAGCTTAAGAACTTGCCTCACATTCATATTAATTCTCGAAGTCTTTAAATAATTTCCAAAAGGTTCCCAAAAATTATTTTCCATACAAGAATAAATTATTTCAGAACTCAAACTGGACGGAAAGTCCGCTGAGTTCGCTCCTTTCACAATTCCTTTTAGAGTACAGTCTCCTGAATCAGACACAGCGGAATGATCACCACAGTCCCTTGACGCGCACTCTGTCGATGAATTTGCATCATTCCATGGGGATGTGTCCGCCGATACAATACGAGGAATTCCGTGATAGCAAAGTCTGCTCGCTCCAGACATGATAACAATATCACCACTGTGTATTAGCATCGCCGTAGGCTTCTCGTCGGCACTCGGTCCGCCAATTAGGAAAACAGCACTCTGACCAAAACTACCAAATGAAAGCAAAGAATTACTGGAATAATTATCTCTGGTTTCGGAAATTTATTTGTCAGTATATAATAACGTCCCACTCAATGGTACCTGCGCCTTGTCGTGGTGGTGGGGCCGAGGACCTCAGTGACCCCAAGAGCTACTGGTAGGGTTGGTCGAGGGGGAGAGGTCAGACTAAGACAGGTACCCTGGTCCTCCAGGTTGGGGGTTGGTCACAAGGCTAACAACCTTGCAGCGTAAAAAGGAAGATGTTTCAAAACCTCGGACAGACGGACCTAACAGAGGACCGAATGAAAGAGGAGAATTGAGGAGGCCATGAAAGAAGAATTTATAATAACGTACAATATGCTAAAACTGTGATGTACAGTTCGCAACCCACTGACTTTATCTCGACAGCGCTCTTCCAAAACTGTTACCTGGCAGCAGTTTTAACGTACACACGAAGGACAACATGAATTATAAAAATAAAGTATAATTCTAAAACACGTACTTAGAATTAAATTCTAAAATTGATAACTGTAGATATCAATTTTATCCTCAATCCAGATTACATTGTCTCGTACTAGCGTAAATTGTCAGTACGTGTGGCCGTGTGATTCCACAGGAAAAAATTAAATTGCTATTCCGAAACTTTGCTGGCAATGAACTGAGATTTGCGGAAGATTTCCGAGTCTCTAAATGTCGCAGCTATTAATAAAAAAATTAATACTCATGAAGTTTTTTGTGCCCGATGAATGGAAACAAAATATCGCCTGCCATAGAAATTGATTACTGCCAGTTTATTTAATGACATCTTCAGTAACTCAAATTAAATAGAGAGAAAAATAATGAATAACAAATGGATGAGGGAGAGAATAGCAAAGACCTAATTTAAATTAATATCGCAACATTTGCCTGGAGGGACTGAGTAAAATCTGTGATTCAGATACAGAATGTGGGACCACAAGACACCAAGCCCAAGATCAACCAGTCAGCCACACTTGGTAGATGCATATAATTTTTTTCAATACCTACAC